CACAGATAAATGTACAACACACCATGCCAGTAAAACTCCAAAGGAGAAGAAGCCTTCTTCCTACTTTATCCATCAACACCATCGCAACTAGAGATCCTGATAATCAGAACAACGTTACAATAAAAAATCCATATAACTGGAAAGGAAAGGGTATATAAAAAAAACAAGTCAGAGGAGAAGGCTACTGTACCCAAGAGGTTTGAAATTCCAACAAATATGTTGGCCAGATCCGATGGTACTCCGGCACTTTTGAAAACGGTAGAAGAGAAATAAAAAACAGCATTTATACCAGATAGCTGTTGCAAAGCAAACAGGGTTGATCCAATAAAAACAACTGCAAAAGGAACAAGTGAATAACAAAGTACTATACAGGTAACAAATATACACAACAATCAACAAAACATGTCTGCGGTTACTTTCTCGGGGGAACAAAATGAGTCATATACCTCTTGAATGCCGACCATATAACAGCTCGGAGAGGCTCACAACATCTGGCTCATCTGCTCGGTCTAGATCTAGTTTGTGTAAATCTGCCATTGCTGTTTTCACATGAGACCCTCCGAGTAGCCTCTCAAACTCAGCTTCTGCTTCAGCTATCTTCCCTTGCTGCATAAGATGATGAGCCTTTATAATGATCTCAAAAGTAAAGGAAGGAAAGAGTAGTGTAAACTTAAGTGCAGTTTTCAGGCAACAACAAAAGATTGTAAATTATTAACTATGGAGCAGACCTTGAAAAGCCACTGGGGAGACTCAGCACAGAAAAACATTCCCAAAGCCAGTGCTGCAGCAGGTATCGTTGATACCCAGAAACAGACACGCCACCTGTGTACCATAACGACATAGATGTTCAAAACTTCTTGGAATATGCTTTAGAGAGTCGTGCCAAGAGTTGATTCTACTAAACATTATGATCATTATGAACTTTCTTACCAACCAGGGATGTTATGGACTGGGATCCCTATAAACAAGGCTCCCATCAATCCCAGACATGTAGCTATCTGTATGAAGCTTCCATATGTTCCCCTAACAAAAGCTGGTGACACCTACTCAAAATATGGGACATTAGCGTAAGAAGTCAAGCGGCTCCAAACTTGTTGCAGAGTAAGATACATGAGGAGTGCTTTGGTCTCCTGCGTTGATATACCTCAGTCACATAGAGTGCTGCCACAGGTGGCCCAAGACCCATACCAGTCCCAACCAAGAATCTTCCCAAAAGCATGACAGCTAAGCTGTTGCTAACTCCACTGAGAGAAACACATTATAGCAGAAGCAACAAATCAAACTTATGGCAACATCGCTAACTCCTGCTAAAGGATCGTAATATTGTAATAAGAGCTACATCAAATACACGTGCCACATCAGAATATATATATAACTGAGTGAGATCAGAATATTAGATAGGGGCAGCTTGAGAGGTGGTAAGGGTGTTGAGTTACCATGGTTGGTTTTGGGGACTGAGAGGGCTTGGAAGCGTTTAGGGACCTCTACAACAATCCCTAGATTACTGGTTATTTGACTTGGTTTGCTAGAATTTACCTGACAAAAGCACCTAAAATCATAGGCAAAGCGCAAAGCTGAAAGGCTCTGCGCCGTCCAAGTCCATCAGCAACTCCCCCGCTGAATAAAGATCCGATAAATGCGCCACCAAGACATACACTAACCACCAAACCTTCACATATGAAGAAGCAACATAAATTAGTTTAAAAGTAGATTAATGACTGATATGCCATGAAAAAATAGAAATCAGAAGTAATATATACACCTTCTGCTAATGTATCACCACTAAAGCCAAGATCAGAAGAAATGCTTTCAAGTGGTTCATTGACAACTCTGTGACAGAACAAACGTTGAAGAAAATCAACACAAG